AGCTAGCTAAGTCTTTCCACTGAAGTCCTGTGTGGATTGCTGAAATCCCTACCTAGTAGATGCTGTGTAAAGGTCAAAAATATCCCACGAGTATGAACTCAGTGTGAGGAATCGCATCCTGTCCTTCTATTCTGTGTACGTTAATTTCCTTTATTTAGTAAATCCTGTATTTCTTTTCTATGTACCACTTCAATCATCAGAGTGATTTGACAGTCACATAGTTTATAATACAACATTTCCTAATAATTTATATATCTGTGGTGTATGTTTGTGTGCAGAAAATATTTTATTTAAGCATTTAGATCAGTGAGAAGAAAGAAGGGATGAGAAGTGGTGACAGCCAGGCCTCTTCTATGATATTTCGGCAAGTCCTAAGGAAGACCTGCCACTGGCTTAGTTGTGCCACCAGAAATAAGTAGTAAATATTCTCTTGTTAGGTTCAACCTCATAGCTCCTCTTTTCAGCAGATTATGGCAAGGCTTGAAGCTTTAGGAGGGAGCAGGCTGAAGGGGTAGAATAACAGTAATTCACTCTGTTCCTCTCTTTTCTTTAAATTTGCATGTTTCATATTGAAGTCTTGAAGTGTCTTTGCTTCTCTTTTTGATATTGCCTTTATTTCCCCTATGCCCCTTCCTGCACTTTCGCTGGCTTCACTTCTGGTGAGGTCAGAGATGCTGGGAATGCACAAATATACATCTTAGAGCTAGAAAGCAGAATCTGGTGGTCCATAGACATGTAGGTAGTTGATATTTTATAGCTACAGTGCTATTGGAGTTCCTTAAGTCAGAATTAGAATATTCAGGCATCATTTGTTGATCACTGTGGTTTGCCTAGCAAGGTACTTGTTGCTGTGAATACGAAGAAGGATCATCTCAGCATTCTATGAACACAGAGTCTAGCACTGGTTGGAGGGAGGTCAGCAATTAGAACACGTGTAGTGAGGGAAGGAAGCACAGGAGTCCGCAAGAGGTCCATGGGACTGAGGGTGCCCCTGGGACACTGGTCTGGTGGCACCAGATGGAGATGTGGAGGTGCTTTTCCCAGGGAAGATGACACCTGAGCCAAATTCTGAAGAATGGGAAGGATGTTGCCATTTGAATGTGGGGTGTTGTAGTACATGGTAGTGAGAGTTCCAGGTAGCATGAACACAGGCTTAAAAGCGTGTTCCTTTAAGGAGCTACCACCAACTCCCAGAACTTGCTATCTCTATAGTTGATCATTAAGGTCCCTGGGGAGCCCTGATGGTGCAGTGTTTAAGAGCTATAGCTGCTAACCAGAAGGTTGGGAGTTCGAATCCACCAGCCACTCCTTGGAAACCCAATGAGGCAGTCCTACTCTGTCCTGTAGGGTTGTTATGAGTCGGAATTGACTCGATTGCAGTGGGTTTTTTGTTTGTTTGTTTGTTTTTTGGGGCGACACAGTTTGCTCTTGGCTACTAACCAAAAGGTTGATGGTTCAAACTCACCCAGCAACACCATGAAAGAAAGACCTGGTGACCTGCTTCCATAAAGATTATAGTTAAAAAAAAAAAAAACCTTACAGAGCTCAGTTCTACTCTGTAACACATGGGGTCGCCATAAGTCAGAATTGACTCTATGGCAGCAGGTAGTAGATAGGCAGTTGATCATTAGGACTTTCTGGAAGAAAGTGCCCCAAAAGAAGTATATTGCTGCCATATTTAAGAAGCACTTAACAGAAAAGATGAGCATAAAGTGGGGTTTTACGTAAAGCAGAATCTTAGAATGCTCAGTTGCCTCGGGTGAAGGAAATGTTGACACCAAATACAAAAATCATCCTGCTATGAAAAAGAAAACTTGTTATTTGGGATTCTGCTTATTATGATAACACGAAGCTTATTGTAATGGTAACAAAGGGATCTATTGTCATTTAACCTGAGTTGTTTATCACTGAAGAACTTAAGCCCAGGATTTCACAAATACTTAAAGATTTAAACCTAAAGAGAGATCATCATGAAGCAAGAAGTAGAAAGTACTAGGGCCCTAAGTCATTAAAAAATAAATAATCCTAGTTCTTTCATAAGGCCTAGTAAGTGATGAGGGGGAAAATGAGAAAAACTAGAGAAACATCTAGAGAAAAGGGACTTAGCTGTTCACCAAGGTTATGATGAAGTTAACAAATAAGGACATATTGAAATCAGGAGCCATCGGGACTGGTCAAAGAATTTTTAATGCTATGTTTTCTATCCACTCCTTTGCCTTTTCTGACATCTGTTGATACGGAAGAAAAGGAAAGAGCAAAAGTTAGAAAGGGAAGGAGTGGAGGGAGACGGAGGGAGGAAGGAAGGAAGAAGGACAAGGATGAACACAACTCCATTAGCTCTAAATATTTTCACATAGATTCAACCCGTACTAGTTTATTACACTTTCAGAGTATCTCATTTCTTTCTTAAAATGATCATGTAAGAAAGAAAAGGCAAGTGAAGAGAAAACTACAGCACAAAAAATTCAAGTGACCAAATGACTACTAAATGGCTGAGCTATAACCTAATCTTTTGATTCCTAATATAATGTTCTTTGCTACCACAGAGAACTGCATCTTTTTGTTAGGATTTTTTTCTTAATGCTAAAAACTCAGCAACTGTTCATTGTGAATCATTAATATATTCAACTGCCATACCACACTGTAAGGCTCAGCCCAGCATGGTTAGGACAGATTACAAAAGTTAGTCATATTTGGCTTCATTGCCAACCTATTGCTGAATATTGAAATTGTGACATTCTTGGATCTTTCTGCATCTCATTTTCTCTTTTTCTTTGATCTGTTATGTCTTAGAGCTAAATGTGAATGGAGTCATTTAGTGACATTGTTCTAACTGTGAGAATATACTTGGTGCCAGTTTCCTGAGCGAGCCATATAATTTACCCTCAAATATGCATTGTGTTTTCATTAGTTTTGTGAGTCTCAGGAATTGTGTTCAGGCCATTTTCTGAGTAACTGTATGTCAGACTTCATGTAGGAACTTTAGACCTCCTAAAGAATTCCCTGATAGATTATGAAAATGTTAAATTGAGGTTGTATAAACAGTTATTGTTGTTAGTTGCCATGGAATCAGCTCTTACTCATGGTGACCCCATGTATAACAAAATGAAATGTCCAGTCCTGCGTCGTCTTCAAAATCGTTGGTATGCTTGAGTCTGTTGTTACAGCCACTGTATATTTTGAGTGCCTTCCAACCTAGGAGACTCATCTTCCAGCACTACACTGGATAATATTTGGTTGTGATGCATAAGGTTTTCATTGGCTAATTTTCAGAAGTAGGTGGCCAGTCCTTTCTTCCAGTCTGCCTTAGTCTGGAAGCCCCACTGAAACCTGTTTACCATGAGCGACCCTGCTGGTATTTGAAATACTGGTGGCATAACTTCCAGCATCACAGCAACATACAAGCCACCACAGTAGACAAACTGACAGGTGGATGGTAGTGTAAATAATACAAGGTAACATTTATTGAGCCCTCTCTAGTGCCAGGCACTTGATATGTATTACCTGTGAGCCTTACAATAACCCTGTGAGGTCAGACAAATGGAAAAGTGAGGTACACAGGCTTGCGCAGCTTGTACGTGACAGAGCCAGGCTTTACACACAGGTCGTTTGGCTCCTGTGCCCACACTCTTAAGCACTATGCTATACTGTTTATACTGAAAATTGTCTGTGAAAGGTTTCTGTTGGTAGGACGCCATTAATTCTGTCAGTTGAAATTCATGATTCCTCCTAAAACGGAGTTGGTTGTTCATTGAAAACCAAGTGACGGCTTTCACACAGATGTAGATCTTGCTCAAATAATGAGAACAAAGTTAAGAACCCCCTGCAGAAAATGTTCTTCAGAGGCCCACAGATTGTTCACTTTGTTCACATTCAGGCCCGGAATTCATTGTGACATGCCTCATTTGAGTTATATTAAATGTAAGGAGAGCTGACATCTGTAGAAGTTCGAATATTCATCATTAATTTCAGCTGTTTAATTTAGCGTCTGTGACACGTGCAAATGTTCTTTGAAATCTTGAAAGGAAAATAGATCATTAGAAATGAAGTGAAGATGAGGTTTTTATTTCTACAGTTATAAATTTTCTTATCTAGTAAGACCCAAAAGCATGTAACTTGTTATTGAAGGTGTCGTGTCTCTCCACTTTATGTGTATTTAGCACTAGTTTTGATTGAATTTGTAGACTTTGTCTTTTTTTGAAATTCATCTAAGATTCCCAGTAGACTTCCCTTTTCTTCCTGCTCATTCATTCATGCCTGTATGCATGCATTTATTCACTCAAAAACTATTTATTGAATACTTTTCGTGCCAAACAGTTAAGCACACTAAAACCTTTTAATTATGGGTGCATTTGTGAGTTGACAGATAATCATAAGGAGTAAAATCTTCTTAATTAAGCTCAATTATCTGAAATTCCTCGCCTCTGACCACATACTCGATCTGCAGCTGAGTTTGGGGAGAGTTATAAACCAGGTAGAACATTGAGATGGGTGAAGATGATGATGACATCACGTGTGGTGCTTTTAGATCCATAAGGAAGCAATAGAATCCTTTTTGCTATTTTAAAGAGAAAATCTAGAAAGTGCCAGGTTGACCTTGAGCCTTAAGGGAACTATTAGGGTAGGCTCCTGGCAAATAGCAATTCATGTTTGTCAAAGTGACCAATTAAAGAGAAGTGAAAAATAAGCAAGATACTGAAAGTGAAGTTTCCCACCAGCTGATACAAGGGCTGAGGCTTGAGAGGTCAAGTTTGTGGCAGTGTGTTTCCTTCCTAAATTGTTTATGCCTTTGGCTATTAATTTGGCATTTTTCCCTAAATTATTTCAGGGACAGAAGCTGCCTCCAGAAAGAAAGTAAAAGTATAACTGTGCAAAGATCTTGAAATAGCCTGTACTTAGGAGACAATTTCTCTGATAGCTTCTGTTTTTCCTATAGTTGTACCAGTTCTAAATAAGAAGTGTTGCTAACTACACTTTCTGATATTTCTTCTTTAAAACAGGGAAATGCACATAAAATCATGGAGAAATGTACATTACCTCTCACTGGAAAACAATGTGTCAACCGCATCATTACCGAAAAGGTAAAGTGCCTTTCTCTTTTGCCTCTAATACCTACCACCACCTATTTTATTTATAAGCATTTTTAGAATTATGTGTTACCTATTAAAAATGCATTGTGATGGCAGGCATAGGATTAATTGAATTTCTGGGTTGACTGAATAGGGAAAATTAATCAATTTAATATTCTTAACCACCAATAGTCTGTCAGTTTGCCATACTGTGGTGGCTTGTGTGTTGCTGTGATGCTGGAAGCTATGCCACCGGTATTTCAAATATCAGCAGGGTCATCCATGATGGACAGGTTTCAGTGGAGCTTCCAGACTAAGACAGACTGGGAAGAAGGACCAAATGATCTACTTCTGAAAAAATTGGCCAATGAAAACCTTAAGGATAGCAGCGGACATAGTCTGATATAGTGCCAGAAGATGACTCCCTTAGGTTGGAAGGCACTCAAAATACAGCTGGGGAAGAGCTGCCTCTTCAAAGTAAAGTTGCTATTAATGATGTATATGGGATAAAGCTTTCGGGACCTTCATTTGCTGATGTGGCACAGCTCAAAATGAGAAGAAACAGCTGCATACATCCATTAAAAAGTGGAACATGGAATGTACCAAGTATGAATCCAGGAAAATCGGAAGTTGTCAAGAATGAAATGGAACGCTTGAAGATTGATATCCTAGGGATTAGTGAGCTGAAATGGACTGGTATTGGCCATTTTGAATCAGTCAGTCATATGGTCTACTATGCCAAGAATGACAGATTGGAGAGGAACGTGTCACATTCATCACGTTTTGAGATCTATCTTGAAATACAGTGCCGCCAGTGATAGGATAATATCCATATGCCTATAAGGAAGATCAGTTAATACGACTATTATTCAAATTTACACACCAACCACTAAGGCCAAAGATGAAGAAATTCAAGATTTGTACAAACTTCTGCAGTCTGAAATTGATCAAACGCAGAATCAAGATGCAGTGACAATTACTGGTGATTGGAATGTGAAAGTTGGAAACATAGAAGAAGTATCAGCAGTTGGAAAATATGGCCTTGGTGATAGAAACAATACTGGAGATTGCATGATAGAATTTCTCAAGACCAGTGATTTATTCATTGGCAATACTTTTTTTCAACAATGTAGAAGGCAACTATGCACATGGACCGCACTGGATAGAATACACAGTAATCAAATTGACTACATCTGTGGAAAGAGACGACGGAGCAGTTCTATCATCAGTCAAAACAAGACCAGGGGCTGACTGTGAAACAGACCATCAACTACTCATATGCAAGTTCAAGTTGAAGCTGAAGAAAATTAAAGCAGTCCACGAGAGCCAAAGTATGACCTTGAGTATATCTCACCTGAATTTAGAGACCATCTCAAGAATAGATTTGGTTCATTGAACACTAATGACTGAAGACCAGACGAGTTGTGGGATAACATCTAGGACATCATATGTGAAGAAAGCAAAAGGTCATTAAAAAACAGAAATGAAAAAAAAGACCAAAATGGATGTGAGAATAGATTCTGAAACTTGCCCTTGAATGTAAAGTAGCTAAAGGGAACTGAAGAAATGATGAAGTAAAAGAGCCGAATAGAAGATTTTAAAGGGTTGCTTGAGATGACAAAGTAAAGTATTATAACAAAATGTGCAAAGACCTGGAATTGGAAAACCAAAATGGAAGAACATGCTCAACATTTCTCAAGCTGAAAGAACTGAAGAAAAAATACAAGCCTCGAGTTGCAATACTGAAGGATTCTAGGGGCAAAATCAGTTTGTCAGTTTGTCGTACTGTGGTGGCTTGCATATTGCTGTGATGCCAGAAGCTATGCCACCGGTATTTCAAGTACCACCCGGGTCACCTGGACAGGTTTCAGCAGAATTTCCAGACTAAGAGACTAGGAAAAAGGACCTGGTGATGTGCTTCTAAAAAAATTGGCCAATGAATAACTTATGAATAGCAGTGAAACATTGGTATAGTGCCAGAAAATTACTCCCTCAGGTTGGAAGGCACTCAAAATACGACTGGGGAAGAGGTGCCTCCTCAAAGTAGAGTCGGCCTTAATGACATGGATGGAGTAAAAGCTTTCGGACCTTCATTTGCTGATGTGGCATGACTCTAAATGAGAATAAACAGCTGCTTCATTGCAAAATGACAAAAAATTTTTTAAGCCTGACATTTTTCCTTTGCAGAAAATGTGTCTGGAACACTGTTCAGACTGATTTACTTTTCCCTGCTTTTTGAACAATTGTATGCTCACAAAAATGGAACAAATAGAAAAAAAAGAACCTCTGAATGGTGTTTTTAAGAACAGGCAGGGAAGGGATTTGGGGAGAAAGTAACTGTGGTATCAATGAGTATAAGCCTTCAGTAAGTGAGGAGATGGAATCTATGGCAGATTGACTTACTGCTTTTTAAAAACTGTTATTAACACCTCTATGAAACCTTAATTACCTTCCAAGATCATATATTGGAAAACCAAGCACCTATTACTAAAAAAGAAGAAAATTTACTTTTGAAATATGTAGGAAGATTTCCATCTAGTAGTTTAAGGTATAAACAAAAACTGGATGAAAATGGAAACTAAAACTTAAAAGTTACAATACACTTTTCAACTGCCAAAAATAATATTGAAGCTAATTTTTTTTTTACAGATGAATAAGTTAATTATTTTTTCATCACCATTAAAGGTTATATTGTGGGTAAAGCAGTTAGTCATAGCCCAGGTGCTGGTGAGGAAGGCCTCTTTCTAACCTTGTTTTAGCAGTACGAAAGATAGGAAATCAGGGTCGTAACATTTTCCAAAGCCTCCTCTTCTCTCAAATGGCAACCTAGTTGAATTTTCATTAAGAACTAATAATATAATTCTAGCTCCTTTACTGCTAGTGGCAGGGCTGGACACATCCATTGCCCTTAATGGTATTGCATTCTCATTCACTCTTTCAGCAAGTATTTATTGAGCACCTACTGTGTATGGAGTCCAGTAGTAAACATACACCATCCCTATCCTTGAGATACTCGAAGTTCCATACTTAGCTGCCCTTCTCTTCACTCATTTTTGCAATAGAATGACATCTATACTTAAGGTTCCAGTTATTCCCATAGGCTAATGACTTCCACAAGTTTGTTTCAATATTTACTTCTTTTCTGAACTCCAGATCCAAATCTCAAGTTGTTCTCAGGAATATCAAGGAATGTCAAGATGAGTATGTCCAAACTGAACCTATTCTCTCCTTGCCTCCCAGTGCCCCTCCACACCCCCTTCACATCCTACAGTGTCTGCTTTTATTAAAGATACAATAGTCAACCACTCATGTGCCTTCTTAGGAATCACCTCTGCCTTACCAAGCATGTTAATTCGTCATCAAATTAGGTTGAGTCTACTCCTAAATCTCTTTCAAATCTCTCTTTCCATCCTGTGCTTTAGGACCTTGGTATTTCTTGCCTGGGTCACCGAAGGAGGCTTCTAACTGGACCCTCTAATTCATCTCTTTTTCTCCTACTCTACACAGCAGCTAGCGTGTTCTTCCTAAAATGCAAGCCTAATCAGTCATGCTCCTCCCTCCCCCAACTACTACAAATAATTGAAGGGCTTCTTACTGCCTTCCAGATAAAACCCAAATTCCTTAACAAGAAATCCTTATCCCTCCATAAGTTGGCCCCTCAGTATCATTCTAACCTTAGTCTTTAGAATCTGGCCGCACCCTTGCTCCATACTATCCCATTTACAGCCCTTGAATAGGCTGTGTTTTCTTAATACCTCCATTACTTTGCCCATTTTCTTCCCTTTGGCTGGAATGGCATCTTGGGTTGCCTTCTCACTAACAAAACTCCTACTTATTTCACAAGACTCATCTCAGATGTCACATCACTCAATCCATTAGTTTTCTCAGCAAGGGAAGTATAGCACAGTATTCAACAAGTATTTGCTGATCATGGGCCAGGCACCATGCTTAGTCTTGGATAAAGAATCGTGAATGAGCCAAAAGCAGAGCTTAGAAGTTATTTCAATATAATACTTAGTGCTAAGTTAGGAGAAGTACAGGGATTCGGGGAGCACCCAGAGACTTCGGGAGGGTGCAAAGGGAAGACTTGCCAGAGAAAGAAATACATAGCTGAGACATTAAAGATGAGCAGGAATTAGCCTCATAAGGGAACCTGTTACAGAGAGAGAAACCAAGGTGTGCAAAGAGGCCCAGAATCAACAGAGAAAACGGCTCAAAGGAGAATGCAATAGCATATCAGTATGGCTAGAGTGGGAAGAAGGTTAAGGCAAAAAAAAGAAAGAGAGAGAGACTGAGACTGGAGGAGAGAAGCTACAGACTGTGAAATGCCTTGCGAAACAAGATGTTTGTATTTGATATCTCATAGAAGCTTTTTTTTTTTTTTTTTACGCATGTCCCCAGGCTGAGTTAGGTGGCCCTCCTGGATTCCTAACTCAGCATCGGTGTGCATCTCTACTGTGGCCTTTATCACTTTCTCCTCTAAATGCTGGCAAAGCTAGAAGCTTCATGCCTAGCCCTCTTGAATGTGCTCCTTGAGGGCAAAGAGTAGATTCCACTCACTTTCAGGAATAGTCTGATTTAGGGAAGGCTCTCACAAAATGCTTATTGAATGAATGAATGCATAGTGAATAAAACAACAATGTGGATGGAGAGACAGGGTATAAATTTTTTTTTTTTTTTTAGGTAGTAAAGTTAAATAAAAATATAAGGTATGTCACAAGAAAAAGAAGGTATTAGATGCTAAGTGTCAAAATGAATGGTAGACCACTCTAAGGGTGAAATCTTTGAGTGCTAAGATGGTCAGAAGTATTTTCATGAAGATGGAAAATGCATTAGGCTTACAGGAAGGGTAGGATTTGGGAAGGCAGAGGGTTGAGTGGAGGTATTGCAGGTAGAAGTACTAAGCTGGCGAAAATGAAGGCAGAGCACACATGGAGTGTATATGAGGAGAAAGCTTACTTGGAACAAGAGGAAGACCAGGGGGGAAATGTTGCTGAATACCAAGCTATATTCCATGCATTGTAATTATCCTTAAAAGGACTACCACGTATTTTGTTAAAGAAAACAGGATCAAGGACTGCTTTATTTTTATTTTAAAAGTAATTAATTCCTCTCAATAAGCGCTGTTCATAGTTTTAGGGGTTCAAAAAATGGTAAGACTGGGAATAAGTGTTGAATAAAATGTTCTGCCCTTTTATGCACTTAATCCTCCCTATTAGTCGTCTTTATGGATTTCCACATAAACAGTCCTAATGGGAAGGCACTGAGAAGACACCATTCAGGACAGAACTTTCCTTAAATTATAGCTTCTGGAAGTGTTATGAGCCTTCTAATCTACTTCAAGGCCTGCTTTAGGTTGCTTCTTACCATACCTCAATGAGGGTTAGCAAACCAGATTAATGCCAAAACCATATGGCAAAAGGAACAACATCCTTAACAGAAAAGCAACAAAATCTCTGGTACAAATACTTCTGTTTTGTGGTTTCATCAAGACGCTGAATTAAGAAAAATCCATCTGTCTGGCTCACTTATGAGAATTATGTCATTCCAACATCCCAGGTTCAAATCTGAGTCAGAAAGGTGACTGTAGATACTGCAAATGATGTTTCTCTCTACTATGAGCAGTTTTCAGTTTTTTCATTCGCCATCATATTCGATTTAAGAAGGAAAACTCTAGAGAAGAACTGAAATGGCCAATTAATTCAGAATTCACATTTTATAAGAGAACTGGAAGTAAACAAGCAATATAGAATACATTTTTTGGCTCATTGTGGGGCCTGTATTTCAGTTTGCACCCAAGTAATTAAAACCCAAATTTGACTGAGTTTCCCATAATGAAACCCAACAATTTGTTCTTGTGATTTAGGAGAGCAAAGAAGAAGGGTAGGAATGATGTATTTATTATTAACTTTCTGTTGTTAAATTTGTATATACAACATTGTATATAAAGCTTACACATCTTAAAGAATAATCAGAATGTAAGAATGAATATAATTTCCCTTTGATTATATCAAACAGTTAAAGCTACTAATAACAGTAGTTCTATTTTGTGTGTATATGTGTATTTCCAGTGGATTGCATATTAAGAATTCTACATTTAGGAGCATTGTTTGTTGTTAGGTGCTGGCCCCTATGTACAACAGGAAGCATCTAAAGCAGATGGAAAGAAGACACAAAGTCACAGTACCAAAAAGAATTGGTCGACATTCAGCCATTTCAGGAGGTAGCATGTGATTAAGAACTGATGGTACTGAGGGAAGAAGTCCAAGCTGCATTGAGAGCACTGGTGAAAAACAAGGCTCCAGAAATTGATACCAACTGAGATGTTTCAAGAAATGGATGCAACCCTGCAATGCTTACTCATCTATGCCAAGAAATTTGAAAGACAGCTACCTGACCAACCGACTGGAAGAGATCCATACTGTGCCCATTCCAAAGAAAGGTGATCCAACGAAGGCAGAAAGTATTGAAAAATATCGTTAATGTCATACACAAGTAAAATTATGCTGAAGATAATTCAAAAAGGGTTGCAGCAGTACATCAACAGAGCACTGCCAGAAATTTAAGCTGGAGTCAGAAGAGGACGTGGAACGAGGGACATCATTGCTGACATGAGATGGATCTTGGCTAAAAGCAGAGAATACCAGAAAGATGTTTACCTGCATTTTATGGACTACACAAAGGCATTTGACTGTGTGGATCATAACAAATTATGGATAACACTGAGAAGAATGGGAATACCAGAACACTTAATTGTGCTCATGCAGAACCTGTAAATAGATCAAGAGGTAGTCGTTCAAACAGAACAAGGGGATATTGCATGGTTTAAAATCAAGAAAGGTTTGTGTCAGGGTTGTATCCTTTCACCATACTTATTCACTTTGTATGCTGAGCAGATAATCTGAGAAGCTGGGCTGTATAAAAATGAACGCAGCATCAGGATTGAAGGAAGACTCATTAACAACCTGTGATAACACAGATAACATAACCTTGCTTGCTGAAATTGAAGAGGACTTGAAGCACTTGATGAAGATCAAAGACTACAGTCTTCAGTATGGATTACACCTTAACATAAAGAAATCAAAAATCCTTACAACTGGACCAATAAGCAACATCATGATAAAGGGAGAAAATATTGAAGTTGTCAAGGATTTCATTTTACTTGGATCCACAATCAATGTCCATGGAAGTATCAGTCAAGAAATCAAAGGATGTATTTATTGCATTGGGCAAATCTGCTGCAAAAGACCTCTTTAAAGTGTTGAAAAACAAAGATGTCACTTTAAGGACTAAGATGCGCCTGACCCAAGCCACGGTGTTTTCAGTCACCTCATATGCATGAGAAAGCTGGACAATGAAGAAGGAAGACCGAAGAAGAATTGATGTCTTTGAATTATGGTGTTGGTGAAGAATATTGAATATACTGTGGACTGCCAGAAGAACAAACAAATCTCTCTTGGAAGAAGTACAGACAGGGTGCTGCTTAGACGTGAGGATAGCTAGACTTCATCTTATTTACTTTGGACATGTTATCAGGAGGGACCAGTCCTTGGAGAAGGACATTATGCTTGGAATAGTAGAGGGTCAGCAAAAAAGAGGAAAACCCTCAATGAGATGCACTGACACACAGCTGCAACAATGGGCTCAAATATAGCAATGGTATTGAGGATTGTGTTTCATTCTGTTGTAGATGGGGTCTGTATGAGTTGGAATCGACTCAATGGCCTCTAACAACATGAACAATGCGGTATACAGATATTCCTAAATGACCATTGTTTTTCTCTCCAAACATATATTTCTGCTGGAAAAAAGGTTTTTTTTTAGGAACATAAATATGCAGCAGCCAAAAAAAAAAGTTTGCTGAAATGTTTTAAATTTAAAGCATCTTTTCCAGTAAAATCAACCAGGTTATCAGTGAATTCATCAAACAAAGAGAGAATGCCAGTACTACTGGTCCCCTTGATGTTTTACTCCTGGGAGAAAAAATATTCAACAACTGGGGAAAATAAGTGTTTTGAAAATTTGATTTGGGTTCACACACAAGTGACAATAAGTGAAGTGACTAAGGAGAAAGAACGATACAGTTCTGTGCCCCTGCTGCGTGTCAGGCACTATGCTGGGTGCTTGGAGTATGTTTGTTATTATATTTGATCTATATAACATCTTGGGAAGTAGATTTTTATGATACTGTATCTGCAGATATGTAGACAGAGTCGCCAAAGTTTGCACAGCTAGCATGTGACAGAGCTGGAAGTCCTGCTTCAAAGCCAGGGTTCCTCCCTCTACACCTTGCTCTATCTTGGTGTTTGTCTCCTAAGCAGGAATGTGTTTGAAAATAGCAATTTTGGATTTGATTTCCAAGGTAAATCCAGAAGAGAGGAGAAATCTGGGCAGCATAATATTTAAGTCTGAGAAAGAGGAAATGGACCACGGAAATTGAAAGAGAAAAGGCAGAAGCCAGCTCTAGGGCCAGGGAGTTGAAGTCATAGGAAAACAGTTTTGGTTCTGACAGTTAGAGCTTCCCATCCATAGATAAGTCTGCCTTGAAACAAGGGAACCTCCTGCCACTGGAAGTATTTAAATAGAACCCAAATGACCATCTGAGAAGAATGTTTTTAAAAATTCTTGGGTGGGAGGTCATATTAAATGACTTTGTGGTACCTTCCACTCAAGAGGTCTTATTTTTATGTGGGAAAGCGTGTTTTTAAATCAAATACAACAGGCTGAGTCTACTCACTGAAGTCAAACTGTACTAATTGGCACTACCATCACCAGGTATTACCAGCTAGAATGTTGTAATGTAATGTTTGAAGTGAGATTAGTCTTCTCATGCTTGTCCTGAAGGGAAGCATACCCCATGAAACCCTCTCAGGACCTATGTGTTGTCACAGGACTTACAGGGAAAGTTTGAACAGTTACCTGGGTTCTTTCAGGGTCAGGACAGCAATCCTTTTATAGCACTCTGGTCACTTCAGAGAGCTTTCTTTTGTTTGCTGTTATTCTTTACCCAGCAGCATTTATCAACTTTTTTCCATCATCCCTGTGCTTTCACCGTCCAAATGCCCCTTCCCTTCCTCCCTCTAGCCCTTCTTTTCTTTGTTCAAATCATTATTTAATCATCTAATTGATATTTTGACTAAAATTGTTGGACAACAAATAGGAAGGTAATTTTTTAAAAAACTGATTAAAATAATAGCAAATGCCGTTAATGTCCACCACTCATTTATTTTCTCGCATCGGCAGTGTTCCACAGCTAATTGCTGATTAGGGAATTGTCAGTTATTCTCACCAAAATGTAATAGTTATCCTTGACGTTTTTCATTGCTGATTTTCAGAACCTTTTGTCCTGGGTCTTGTCGCTCTTAGAACTTGAGAAGTTGTTTCTGTTTTGTGCTATAAAATAATCATTGAGATCTAAATTGTTATTATTATTATTATTACTTCGGCAGGCTGTATTTGATGTGGACAAGAAGGAAGGACTGACTCTGATTGAAATCTGGGAAGGCCTCACAGTGGATGACATAAAAAAGAGCACTGGGTGCGACTTTGCAGTAAGTGTTTCTGTGAACAGATACAGCCACTCGTCCTATATCACGGGCTTGATTAATGGATGTTTACAGGGCATGAGATGTTAATTTGTGATCAGTTTTGGAGGTGAGCTTTGCAGTGAACAGGAGTGGAAGGAAGGGTGCCTCCAGATGAGAGCAAGGGGAGCAGGAACCATACTCTGACTCGGGGAGAGAACAGAGCTGAAGCCAGCATTTGGCTCAGGAGTCAGGATCAGGAGGGGGAGATGCCAAGGCCTGCTGAGAATGGAAGACTGACCTTAGCTTAGCTCTACACTATTTTATATAAAGTCTCTTGCAATCATTTATTCTTCGGTTACATGTCAGCTGTGACTAAGCCTGATTAACTAAAAAAATGTGAGTTACACATGGAGAAGTGATATACTTCCTTATTTTTAAACCCATTTATGACTTATGACTTTCTCTGTAATTGTAATTCTAAGCCTCTTTATTCCACCTCTTGATGAAATTAAAATGTTGAGCTTCTGCCACTACCAAATTTATAATCACAAAATATGTGTATCCTCATTTGAAGAAAAACTTAGTGTATAAAAACTCAGACTTACAAAGCAGATAAATACATCAGGGGAATATCCATTTAAGAAATCCCCAGATGCCTTTTTAGAACAAAGAGAATAATACTGTAATATAGGTAATTACCCTTTAATATAAGTTGTTGTTGTTGTTAGTTACCTTTAAGTTGACTCTGACTCATGATGACCTTATGTTTAACAAAACCAAACATTGCCAGTCCTGTGCCATCCTCACAATCTTTAGTATGTTTGAGCCCATTTTTGCAGCCACTGTGTCAACCCATCTCATCAAGGGTTTTCACTGACCACTCGTTTATAAATCACCAACTACCTACCTGATGGGGGTTGGGAGAATGATTCAGTTCATTTGAAGTTATTCAGAAGTAAAGGTGAGACATCTCTGAAAAAAATGAAGGAAAGGGATTTGACTCTGATATACACTTTTAAGAACAGACCTACTAGTTAAAATCAGATATATTTATTATGAGAAGAAAATATGTTAATGTTGCTACTACCCAGCCTAGAGAAAGTAATATAACAAAACTTATTTGATAAATCATGCATGTATTTCATACATTAATTTCTTATGTAGTACATGCTTGGCTTGTACCTATCAGTGCATATCAAATTTCTGTAAAAATAATTTTGCTGCATAATTTATTATCCCACATATAACTTCCTGGCCCTGTACCAATGTCTTTGTCTATTAACCGTTTCTGAATTTTCCTTTGGAAGAAAAGAAGTCTGCCGTGTTCATGAAACACATATCTCTAATTAGCATTTTAATAACCTAGGGGGAAAAGTAGGATTTATTTATACTGTATTTAGGATTTCTTAGCCGAGTGATAAACACAAACAATTCTTTTATTTAATCAGCAGTTCTTTATTTTTTTTTCCCCTGTGTGAATGAGTTAACCTCTTCTTCATCAACTAACATTTTTGAGGTCTACAGAATGTTCAATTCTTTGCTGCAAAAGAGAATATACAAAGAAAAGACCCTCATTGTCATCTGTTTCTTTTTTTTTTTTTTTTAATGTGGATGAATCAGGAAAGGATAAAGTGGGTTTTTTTTTTTTTTTTTCTGTTTTTGCTTTGTTTTTGCAAAAACAAGGAAGTGTCAGTTCTCATGTCTTGATACCTTGAAAAATCTCTCTGTGGTCCCTCCTTTGCTCCAGTACCATCCCCTCCTTCCGTTTTGACACTGACGTGTGATTCTGTTTTCCTCCAGATTAGACTGTTGGATGTCAGTGTTGTCCTGAAAATGAAAAGATGTGGTATCAGCTGAACAGTCTGAGCAAAGGAACTAACTTTTGAGGATCAGTGATAACTGGCATCTCTTTAGACCCTGTTAGGGAAATCACATACAGCAGGTTGTTCCTCTGTATGGCCAGGGGCTGGAGTGCTTTGATTAATAAAATGTTCTGCTTAATCGCTAGGTTATCAATACAAGAACACTGAGGGTAACGCTTATTTATTTAATAATTCAGGAGATATTCAGTGTAGCTATCAATGCATAGGTAGCATTGTACTCTTTGTGTGACTTTATGCCAGTTGCTCAAGATTTCTGTTTGAGAAAAGGCTCAATAACTCAGCCTTCACTTTATAACTTGCAGTAAACATTCTAGAATGGTATGGTTAGACAGGCAGGTTGTTGCAGAATAAAGAAATAAGGGAAAAACCTAAGTCAAAGCAATTGTACAAATGTGTTGGCAACAGTTCTGTATACCTAAGAATGATGTAAGCAAGTGAATAAAGCAAATGAGCAAAAGATACAGAATATGGACATAAGCTGATTGAGAAGATACTGAGGATTTTAAAGAAAAAGACAAAGTATAACACCATCAGATAACAGGACATGACAAAAATCGAGGTTTCAGGTTATTAAAAAAAGAATGATTGCAATGGAATATTGGAGTACTTTTAAAAAAAGTTACTAAGACTCTTCCCTATATAAACCAAAACCACATCTGTTGCCCTACAGTCGATTCCAGCTCATAGCGACCCTATTGGACAGAGTAGAACTGCCCCATAGGGTCTCAAAGGAGCAGCTAATGGATTCGAACTGCTGACCTTTGGATTAGCAGCCGAGCTCTTAACCACTGCGCCACCAGGGCACCACACTCTTAATTAGCAATAACAAAAAAAAAAAATATATGGAAGGAAAATGTGTCCTTTAAATACCACCTGAATCTGTTACTGTTGTTGTTAGGTGCCATCAAGTCAATTCTGACTTGCAGCTACTGTACCTACAACAAAACAAAACATAGCCTGGTCCTGTACCATCCTCACAATCGTTGCTATGTTTGAGCCTATTGTTGTAGCTACTGTGTCAGTCCATCTCATTGAGGATTGCCTTAGTTATCTAGTGCTGCTATAACAGAAATATCATAAGTGGATGGCTTTTAACAAACAGAAATTTATTCTCTCACAGTCTAGTAGGCTAGAAGTCTGAATTCAGGGCACCAGCTCCAGGGGAAAGCTCTCTTTCTCCATTGGCTCTGGGGGAGGGTCCTTGTCATCAGTCTGCTCAGGTCGAGGATCTTTTCAGCACTGGGACCCTGAGTCCAAAGGACATGCTATTCTGGCTCTTGTTTCTTGGTGGTATGAGGACCCTGTGTCTCTGTGGTTGCTTCTCTCTTTTATATTTCAAAAGAGATTGACTTAAAACACAACCTAATCTTGTAGATTGAGTCCTGCCGTGTCTTAGTCATGTAGTGCTGCTCCAAAAGAAATACCACAAGTGGATGGTTTTAACAAAGAGAAGTTTATTCTCTCACAGTCCAGTAGGCTACAAGTCCAAATTCAGGGTGTCAGCTCCAGGAAAAAGCTTTCTCTCTGTCCTCTCTGGAGGAAGGTCCTTGTGATGCATCAGTCTTCCTTTGGTCTGGGAGCATCTCAGCAGGAACCTCCGGTCCAAAGGATGCACTGTGCTCCCAGCACTGCTTTCTTGGTGGTATGAGGTTCCCATGTGTCTCTGCTCACTTCTCTCTTTTATATCTCAAAAGAGATTGCATTAAGACACTATCTGATCTTGTCAGCCTCATCAGTATAACCTCATCACAGTGACAGAATTTACAACACATAAGGAGATCACATATAATCTCATCATAGCGATAGAGTTTACAAGACATAACGAAATCACATCAGATAACACAATCATACAATACCATACAATACTGGGAATCATGACCTAGCCAAGTTGCTACATACATTTTTTGGGGGACACAGTTGAATCCATGACATGCCTCATTAACATAACTGTCTCTAATTCTCCCTCATTAACATCGTACAGGTAGGATTTATAACATATAGGCTAATCATGTCAGATGACAAAATGTTGGACAATCACACAATACTGGGAATCATGGCCTAGCCAAGTTGACATATATTTTTGGGGGACACAGTCCAATCCATGACAAGTGTCATCCTCTTTTTTGCTGACCCTCTACTTTACCAAGCATGATGTCCTTCTCCAGGGACTGGTCCCTCCTGATAACATGTCCAAGGTACCTGAGACGTAGTCTTGCCGTCTGTGCTTCTAAGGAGCATTCTGGCTGTGCTTCTTCCAAGACAGATTTGTTCATTTCTTCTGTCAGTCTATGGTATATTCAATATTCTTCACCAACACCATAATTCAAAGGCATCCATTTTTCTTCTGTCTTCCTTATTCATGGTCTAGCTTTCACGTGCATATGAGATAGTTGAAAATATCATGGCTTAAATCAGGCACTTTAGTCCTCAAAGTGACACCTTTGCTTTTTTAACAGTTTAAAGAGGTCCTTTACAACAGATTTGCTCAATGTAATACGTCGTTTGACTTCTTGACTGCTGCTTCTATGGGTGCTGATTGTGAATTCAAGTAAAATGAAATCCTTGACAACTTCGATCTCTTCTCCATTTATCATGATGTTGTGAGAATTTTTGTTTTCTTTATATTGAGATGGTCTTTGATCTTCAGCAGTAAGTACATTAAGTCCTCTTTACTTTCAGCAAGGAAGATTGTGTCATCTGCATAATGCAGGTTGTTAATGAGTCTTCCTCCATTCCTGATGCCCTGTTGTTCTTCGTATAGTCCAGCTTCTCGGATTATTTGCTCAGCATACAGATTGCATAAGTATGGTGAAAGGATACAACCCTGACACACACCTTTCTTGACTTTAAACCATGCAGTATCCCCTTGTTCTGTTCGAACTACTGCCTCTTGGTCTATTTACGGGTTCTGCATGAGCACAATTAAGTGTTCTGGAATTCCCATAAATGCCTTTGCATAGTCGATAAAACACAGGTAGACATCTTTCTGGTATTCTCTGCTTTCAGCAAAGGTCCATCTGACATCAGCAATGATATCCCTTGTTCCGTGTCATCTCTGAATCTGGCTTAAATTTCTGGCAATTCCCTGTCAATGTACTGCTGCAACCATTTTTGAATTATCTTCAGCAAAATTTTACTTTG